TGATTTTTCTCAGTTTTAACTTTAAATTTTGAGTTTTATGTTATCCCAAAAAGTGTTCGGAGACTTTTGGTGACCCTTTGTAAATATATATTATAAAGTCATAAAATCATAAAATCTTTTATTATAAGATTTTTAACAAAAAGAAAATATTATAAAGAAATTACAATACTAAAAGATTAAAAAATAACTAATTGAATAAAAAATTATAATGAAATACAATTAACTAAAAATTATATATTATAATATAAATTATATAATATAAGATAAAAGACAAATCACATAATAGGTAATATAAATATATTATAGAATATAGATAAATTATAAGATATAGAAGAATAAATTACCAAAGTTGCAAAAAAAAATAATAAAAAAACTTTAAAATGAAAAAAGAAAAAGAAGATAATTTACAAATTTATATAAAAATTACATAAAAGCTCAAATAAAATAAATTAAAAATAAATTATAGAATATTTATATAATCTATATTATTTAAAAGAAAACTAATAAAAATAATGTAAAATATATATTGAATAACAAAAAAAAAAGAAAAATTAAAGAATAAAAAAATGATTACTAAAAAAAAAGAAAAAATATTTAAAAATAAATTTGACATAATAATAATACATAATAATAATATATAATAATAATAATGTAATAATCTACAAGAATAAAAATATGAAATAATAGAAATAAAGATTATAAAAATAAAATATGAAATAAAAAGAAGAATTAATTAAAAATCTAAAAATAAATATGATATAATAATAAGAAAATATTAGAAAAATTAAAAATTAAAAATTAAAATTAGAATAGAAATTAAAAATTAAAATTAGAATAGAAATTAAAATTAAAATTAAAAATTAGAGTTAAAAATAAGAATAAAAAATATTTATGAAAAATTAAAAATTAGATCTATAGAATTAATTAATATTATTAATATTAAAATTCAATATTTAATAAATAAAAAATATTATAATATAAAAGATTTTACAGTTACACCTTATAACAAAGTTGCTGATCTAGCTGATCAGGTCTTTGTTATAAGAATCTTTATTAATGTTATAATAAATTATTCATTATATTAGATGATTACTGATTTCATTACACAAATATAATTTTATTATGATATAATTTTTTCAGAAATATTTACACGTTATTTTGTAAATTTTAGCCATTTTGTTTTAATATGCAATCTGTTAATTATTATATGACAGTTTTATTAATTTATTTAAATTTTTTTTTAAAAAAAATTTAATTTATCATTTTTTAAAATAAATAAAAATAAAATTAAAGAAACTAAACGAGATGAAAAAATACTAATTAATTCTATATAAAAATTGTACATTAATATTAATACATACAATACTGCACTTTTTTGAATATTAAATTACTAAAATACACTTATTTAAAATAAGTAAAATAATTTATATTAGCAATTTTTGCTAATTCTTTTTCTAAAAAATTATCAAAATCTAATCATTTGATTCAAAAAAAATTGTAAAAATAAAAAGCAATTATTTGAAATTTATTATAAAAGAATCTTAAGTAAATATAAATACTATAATACTGTTCATTATTTGCCATCTTAAAAATTAAAAAAAATGAAAAAACTATATATTAATATGTAAGAAAATAGGATTACTTATAAATATTTAAATTAATTATTTAAATTGCAAATCTTTAAAGTAAAATGATTATGTGTTTTAAGAGTATATAATATCAATTTAATAAGAATTAGATTCAATACTAAAAAAGCTTTAAAATAAACTAAAATTCATTAAAATTAAATCACAGAAAGTTAAAATAAATTTAAGAGCTGATAAATTTATTTATAAATGATTTTGAATAGATTTAAAGTCAATTTTGAAGAAAGTATTTATAAGTAAATTCTGAATTAATTTTTTGATAATGTTAAGATTTGATTACTTAAAGAAAATGAAAAAATTGCTTATAGTTATATAAAAAATGAAATTACCTATGAAATCTTAAAAATCAAAATTTAGTATAAAAGATAGTTAGTTACTTATAAAATATGATTTATCAATCAAAAAATTGCTAAACTAATACCATTAGATTTAAAGTATTAAATGCTTCAAAATAAACTAAAGTTTATCAAATTTAGATTTATAAAAACAGATTTAATCTTATTAGTTGAATAAAATTAATATATTATATTTTCTTATAATTTTAATTTTTTTTTGTTTATAGTCATATTTTATTATAATCACTAAATATAAAATGTTTCAAATATATAATTATAAAGAAAGTTTACTATATCATAATTTGTATAAAAATGATAATAACAAATAAAGAAAAATAATAAAATATATAATATAAAATGAAAAATTTTAAGAAAATAATAAAAAGAAAAGTATGAAAAAATAAATAAAAATAAAAATAATTTAATATAAGTTTTAAAGATAAATGAAAGAAAATGAGAATAATAAGATAAATTAAAAACAAAAAGGATAAATAAAAGAAAAAAGAAGAATAATAAAGAATAAAGATAAAGAATAAGAATAAAAAATAAAAATTAGAATAAAGAATAAATTAAAAACAAGAATGATAAAAATAATAATGTAATGAAAAATAATAATATAAATAAAAAAAAAAGAGTAATATAATAAATAAATAAATAAATTTTTAATAAATAAAAATTAATTTGTAAAATAAATTCTTTTAATAATAAGTGGCAGAAACTCAATAAGCAAATATAATTCTTATTTAAGTTATTAAATTTTAAAATGTAATATTTTGTAAAATACTTTTGATAATTTTAACATGAATATTTCATTTAATAATTTGGTTTTTGTAATTATATTTGAAATATTTTTATAAATATTTATATTTTTTTTTTAAAAAAAAACTAATCCAATAATAAAGCCAAGAATAAAAGAATATTTTAAACTATAATTTGAATTTTATATTATCTGTTATTGTAACAACTAGATTATTATATTAAATAGTATTAATTAATCATTTAAAAATAAAAAACAAGATCAGTTAGAAAATCTTCATTATTATAACACAATTTTTTAATATTTAAAAATATTATAATTAATAATCAAGTATCAAAAGATAAACAAATTTATAAATAATACCTTAATGTTAAATTGTTCTTTTTTCAAATTTTAACAAAATAAGCCTAAGACTCTAGAATTGATACTATCTAAAAGAAACTAAAAAATTAGTAAATTCTTCAATATATTTTATATTTTTACAAGAGAAAAATTGTTAAAAAAATAAAAATGAGTTAATGATAATCTGAACAAATTTTGATCTAAAAATCATATTTGGCATATAAAAGTAAAATTGATTTAAACTGGCAGTTTTTCCCACTTTCTATTGCAAAGACCTTATATTATAAAAGTGAAATTTTATTATTTATTAATATAATTAAATGATTAATTTAATTTTAAATTTTATTTCTAATAATTTTATATCAATTTTATTTCTTAATTTGCGATTATATTGATTTTATTAAATATAGTAATATTTAAAAATATATACAGCAAATATCCTTTATTTATTAATAATAACTTTCAATGCAAAGAATATTTGACATACAGTATTTAGTATAATATAATTAATAAGTAAAACTAATCTTTAAATAAGAACTAGCCTTTTTTATTGAATTTGTTTTAAAAATATCCTGACTAGTACATTAGGTTTATAATCCTTGTGACCACGTTTCTCATCAACAATGAGAAACGTATTTAATCTTTATTAGTCAGTCATGATATACATAACAAAATTATTAAATGCATTTTAGATTTACTATATGTTACAAAGGTTGCCAGGAAAAACCCGGAAGTTTCGACAGGCATCGAAATTGAAACCCGTCGTCGAAACCCATCGAAACCATCGAAAATCGAAAGGATTCGGTAGTGTTAGCCTTTGGTCATTGGCCAATTTGGCCGGCCAAATGGCTAAAAAAAAAAAAAAAAAAAACTTGGCCGCGGCAGCGGCCAAATGCCAATTTCATAAGAATTACATTTATTAAATTAATGTATACTAATTAATAGAGCTAGAGCATGTAATGTCGATCAATTTAAATTCGGCAAAACTTACAGCTTTGACTCAAAAATCTGCACACGTTGCTAGGATACTTTTAAATCATTTTAATGTTTATCGTATCTAACTTATCATAGGGGTTACAAAATTGTTCAATTGTATGCATTAATAGAAAGTCTTAAATACGAATTGAGAAAGTGCAATTGAAGCGGTAAAATAGATTGTTATTTATGATTGGTTCTGTTTATTTAAATTTTCAGGCGATAAGAAAACATAATATATTGTACAAGGCAAAATTCCAAAAGGAAAAATTTTTTTTCATTTTTATTTAATTAAAGAATAATTATAATTGTTGTATGTATGCTCTGGATATGCGGCTAAGCAATATAATGAATTATTGCGAACCCAGATTAAATATCCAATAACAATTAATGTGATTTTTGGGAAATCAAACGACGACATCGAAAAGTCAAGAAACAATAGGAATATATAACAATATGCAGGAAATGAACGAAGTTCACAGCCATAACCATTCATCTGTAATTTCTCCGAAACCTTACCACCCGGTACTCATGCCTCCCTATGCAACCCTGGGTGACTTTTCTAACATAACCTAAATTCATAGGAATGAAAACCCCATCTTCCCGAAGTGCGACTACTACGGCTACATTACGGCGCGAACCCTCCCTTTCGAAGGTTGGTTTCTTCTCCATTTCTTGCACGCGCAAAGACTTGCGAGTCGGACCAAAAGTTCCGTCTCATCAAATCCTTACAATATAAACAATTAAGAGGAGAGATGAAAAATATATTAAAATGCAAAGATGAATAAGGCATGATACAAAACTAAATAAAATATAAATATTGAAAATAATAAAAAAAAAAAAAAAATGATAATAATACAGATATCAAACAAAAAGACAGATAGGACAAGTAAAAATACGACAGGAATATATATAAATACGAAAAGTACAGGGCCTTTAATATTATAAAAAATGATTTCATCAAAAAAGCCCAAAAAATTTAAATCCACCTACTGCCGAAGCAATAAGAATTAACGCAATCTCTTGCAAGTCATTTTTTTATTCCCAAAAAATAAAAAAGGTGTTGCAAATGCAACTAACACTACCGCTATGGCGAAATAAAAAAATTTTTTATATAGGGTGTGGGAATCATCTTGCAGATCTGTACCAATTTAATGTAATAACAATAAGAAAAGTTTTTATATTATGACGTTAGACAATCCATGGTGTTACAAATTTTTGACCGCGCCACGAATTTCGAAAAAATTTTTTTATTTGCCTTCGGAACAATAATTTTCTTCCTATACACAATTAATTAATTCTATCCGCGCCACTAAATATACTAATGACAAAAAAGAATGAGTAAAATCAAATAATAAAAAAAAAATTATTTTATATAAAGCTTTGAAAAAAATGCCATGCTAGAATAGTAAAAACAAGAATTAAGATTATACTTTCTAACTAGGGTGGCGTTGATTTTGTGATGCGCAAAAGTTACCACCACCATCATGCTTTTAGTTGTTTGTGCTGATTATTTTTTTTTGTATATATTTTTTTTATTGTTATTTTTTTTTTTTTTTTTGAAATTAAAGAATTAAAATGGTAGGTTATAAAAGTGTATTAATTTTTAAATGTTATTATATGCTTAAAATATATATATATATATATAGTATTCTTAAAAATAAATGGTTAGTGTAATTTGATCGGTTGAGTTTCATTCAATGTAAGTTTATAGTTTGATCTTTAATTTTTTTTTTTGTGATAAAATTTTGTTTTAAGTTAATAGTTGTTATAGCTTTGAGTTTATTATAGAGGAGATATTTGTGGGTTTTTTAAGTATGTGGGTTGGTAATTTTTTATATGAATAATGGAATTATTGCTATTTTTTCAAGGCAGTTGTATTCTGTGATCATATTTGGATCAGTCACTGCCTAACGTTGCTATTTGAATATTATTCTAGTTGAAACATCTGCTGAGTGAAATATATGCTTATCCTGTAGAGAATATTTGGTTTCAAGATTGATTGATACATTTTGTAAGGTAAGGCCTTATGTTTTATGGATGGTTAGGGTATAGCAGTTTTGAAATAAAATTGTCAGTGGCTTGCTGAATTTCAGTTTATATTGAAGTAGTTTATGTATAATCTAATTTCTAAGATGATGATACTACTTATTACATTAAATAATACTTAGACTAACTTTATTTCAGCATTAATATCTATAATAATACTGACTGTTCTATTGCATATGCTGAGTTCTATTTTAGAATTATTTAGATTATTAATTTATGTCTTATTAAAGTCTAATCGATATAGGTAGGTTAGTTTTTGATTTGAATATTTTTTCAATTAGTATTATATCTCATTTTACCATTTATAATATCAATAGCATTGGATATTAAAAATTATTCATTAGTTATTAAAAGAATATTACATATTAAGCAGATGATCTTATTAGCTATTTACAATAACTTATTATATTTGTTGTATTAAGAAGAAGATTAATCAGTTTAATGTAATTGTATTCATTATTAAAGTTCTGAATGAGTCGAGTTAACTCATAAGTTAGATGAGTCAAGTCGAGTTTAAATCAAGTCAAATTTATATTTTTCTTGACTTAATGATTTGTAAGTCATGCCAAATCAAATTGAGTTAAATATTTAATTTGACTCAATTTAAACTCGACTCAAACTTAATTTGACTCAAGTTGACTTGAAATAGTATTATTAATAAATTAATATTTTAAAGCTATAAAATTATACATTATAATAATTGAAATACTTATAATAATTAAAATGTATTAATAATTAATTTATTTTATTAAGTTAAATTATAAATTTTAAATTTCATTAGAAATGCATATAGTTAATTATTTTTTTATCGATAAGATAATTAAACGTTAAATCAGTATAATTAGACCTTTATTTTTTATTGATAAAATATATAAAAAAATAAAAATTATTATAAATTAATTAAAAAATCTAATTTTCATAATATCTGCTTCTTTTTTCATTGATTTAGCAGTTTTTTCAGTTAAATTAATTGTACTAGTATATCAAACGTCATCTTCACTTAAATTAAGTTTAACTGTATCATGTATAGTTTGCATTAACTAACATTATATTGAATTTGATATCATTTTAATAGTAATACTATATTCAGGATAAATAAAATAACCTTTTTTAACTACACCAATTTCAAACAAATTCTATTGCAAATTTTGATTTATCCTTATCCTAATATCCTGCAGCTTAATAGTTCTCTGCATAAAATACTACACTTATTTTCTGTTCATTATTTAAATTTACTTTTTGCTTAAATGTTTCATATGATAATACTGATTATGGTATATAATCTTCAGCATTTTTATATAACCATTTTCTAAAACTATCTCCATTTTTATCATATATTCTTTATATCTCTGAATTAAGATTTTTATTTTTATATATATATGAATCAGTAGTTGATAGATCTAAAAAATTTGCATGAAGACCATGACTAATTAATTTTCCTAAATCAGCATGTGTTTTTGTTTATGATTAATTTTAGAATGTGCATTGCAGGTAAGTTTCATTTTAAATCCAAAATGATTTGTAATATTTTTTTGTGCAATATTATGAATTACTTCTCTAACAATTTTATCATTACATTTTAACAGAATAGATTAACTTTTATTAATAATAACAAAGTCATTTTCTTTTTCAATATCTTTACAAGTAACAAATTTATGAAAATATTTTTAACTAAATCTAATCTATGATTTATGTTCAAATCATATATTATTTTAATAACTCTATCAAAATCTTTAAGGAGTATTTGATTCGATTTTGCTAACTTAAAAATAAATCTTTACAAAAATCTTTATTTTAATTCTTAGTTATATATTGATTATAAGCTGATACAGGATTCTATTAAAATTAATAATAAATAAAATAAATATATAATTAATTAATTTTTTAAAATTTAAAAATTTATTAATCCTAATAAAACCTAAATTAGTATTTGATGACGAGCTCTTATTCAATTATTTTACTTAAAGGATTAAAGAATTGTAATTACTTACTAAATCAATAATTTGGTTACTAATCAACAATACTTCAAATTTATCTGGTTTTTAAATAAACCATATGACGTTTATAACTAAATTCATTTAAAATTTTACAAACTTTTTTTGATAATTTTTTAAAGAAAAGCATTGTGAAAGTTTGAATATAAGGAAAATAGATAATTAAAAAAAATATGATTTATATATAAAAAAATAAGAAAATTTTTTTAAAAAAAAAAGAAAAAAGAAAATAAATTATATATATAATTAATTATTATTACGCCAACTTCAAAAATAAATATATCTATCAAACAAATACAAATGCTTATTTTTTTTTAACGATATGGCACTGCCAGTAACTTTATTAAATTTATATATAAGAAAATATAAAGTAAATCGAAAATAAATCTATGCTAAGTACTAGTTATCCCTGTAGTTTTATTGCAAACCTGTTTGAATCGACCTATCATCGTCTTTCCCTTCATCAACTTCACTAAGTGCATACTTAATGAAAATTAACATCAGCAAGGAAATAAAAAGAAGACGTTAGTGCCTATTTAAAAATCTGAAAACACGTAGCCAAATTTGTTCGTAAGATGTATCCAAGTTTTCTAGTTAAAAGAGAGGCTTGATGTCTATCTGTGAGATAGGGTGAACTGGCACAGCGTTTACACTTGTCTTATTTAGTGATGCCCATTGAATGCTCTTTGGCGATTAATAAGTTGCAACGGTATTTCAGATGTCATCATATAGCTTTTAGTAGAAGAGGAGCAGCAAGCGTGAAATGATGAAGAGGCATTGCTCTTTATTGCCAGCTATTTTGTAAACAATATTTATCAGGGAAGACAAAATTCTGGATTGAATGATATCTGTGTAGCTATTAGAAGCATTTGAAGGTGATGCGAAGGTGTTGTTGAATATATCCTCTAGTTCAGTTTGATGCTCTGTGTATCTGGCTCTATATGAAAAGCTTAGCTGATTAATAAGATCATTTTTGGTAGCTGAGATTGTGTCTATAATTTTCGAGAAGTATACTGGATATGTCCAAATATAGAAAGTGGTTTCAGTAGCAACGTTATAACTCACACAAGGCTAGTATTTATATAAATCAGATCGTAATAATATGAGGTGTAATAGTGAAGAAAGTTCGTCAATAAAATTTTTAATTATGAATGATTTAAGCTTACATAAAGCAAAGGATGTAGAGAGAGAAGAGGTGTTCATCAAAAAAAGGTTCCAAATGGCGAACCAATTGATAGATTTATTGACTGTGAGTATTTTGAGTTTATCATTCCTGTTCAAATTCAGAAAGTTGCCAAATGCTTGTACTGCAAAGAGTTGCTTGAGAAAACCTCTGATAGAAACCTCAATAGGAATATTATTAAAGCAAAATGAGAAATCTGATGAGGAGACATTATTAAGTAGTAAGGATAGAGAAGGTGTATTACATCCATCCTTAGCTAGTCTATCCGCTATTTCATTGTAATAATTTTTAGCGTGTACTTTGATTTTGTGAAGTGAAACTTGGAGGTTAAGATGATCAGTGATGTATCAGATTATAATCCAGATCATATAATTGGAAGCTTTCTCGAAGAAAGATGGTTGGAGAGCATGTATTTGTTAAAATCATGGATTATTGTCTGGCTATCTAGGTAGACGTCTACCACTGTGTTGTTTGGGGATACTATGAGGGCAGTAAGGAGAGCATACATTTCAGTATGCATGAAAGAGGGCCAATTTGTGAGTGGGGCTTTAAAGGTAAATAGACCATTATCAGAGTATAAGCAAATCCAACTGAATCCCATTTTACAGTTATTTGTCTAAGATTTTATTAAGGAGCTATCAGTGTAAAATGTTAAGGCTATAACACCAATGAATGTGAATTGCAATTATTTAAGCTTGGATGAGTGCATCGTTAGTTAATAAGAAGATCGATGATATTTTTAGAGAGCAGAATTATTGGAGGGGGGTCATTGTATAAACTGTGAAAGATCATATTGGTGATATGAGAGATTTTCCTAAATGATTGTTTGGATTGATTCTTGACTATATATGATTGTTTAGGAATAATCTGAACTAAGTAGGCCAGGGCATTAGAGATATTGATGATGTAATGCCAGATGAAATGGTCTGTCTGCTAAGAGGACAACTGGAGTATTTAACAAGCTGACAAACATTATTATGGTTGATATTGTGGATGAAATAGTAACAGATAAGATGGCTACTGTTTGAGACATTGATTATAATTTTTTCAAAGATTAGACCATTGAGCGTTGTGTCTCAGGTTGATACTATTTCTTTCATTTAGCTATTTAAGGTAGGGGCTTGAGAAATGGTTTTGTAACATGGTAAGGGAGAAGCTAGTCTGAATGCTGGTTTAATCAATCTATGTACATGACTTTCTAAAATAATGTTGTCTAATCTATAGAAAAAATCAGATGAACCAAATCTTTTTGACTGATGGTCAAAATCTCTGAGAAGGAAATCAGAAGTAGTAATTAAATGAAGACCTGAGGAAGAGATTAGTTGATCTAGAAAATATAAGTTATGGTTAGTGAGAATCTTGTTATATCTTTTCAATAGACTACTAAAAAGGATTTTTGTGATGGGTTGGATGCCTCTCTTAATTTTATTTATGAGGAGTGGGGAAACATTGAGAGAAAGTTTTGAGGATGAAGAGTTAATAAGGGAGAGGGAGGCACTGATTAAGTTTCTATGTGAACATTTGTTGAAGGAATATGGCTAATAATTTAGAGGGGATGTAACAAGAACATTGTTTGACTGTAATTGGTAAAGTTAAATTAAAGAGATGTTCTTATAAAGGGATGAGTTATTAAATTGGTAAATAAGAGCAGTTGAAAGGGATTTGATTTGCAGTGACCAGAGGTCGCTTAAGTTATAGAATTGTTTGGAATTCAAAAGATTGTTAGGGAGGGTAAGAGCGAATTTATTTTATGTTTGAAAAGTAAACATATAGGAGCGAAAATTTTATGACATTTATTTTTTGAAAGGGTGTCAGCTGCATTCGATATTCTAGCAGGGGACATAAAACCATATTAATAATATATGATAGTTGTTTGTCTGTTAATAGTTTATATTTCATAGAAGTGACAAAATGGTTCACATCAAACATGAGCTGCTTTTTGACGAATGATTAAGCTCTCTGACTATTAATTCATACACCTAGAAACTGTACTAATCCTTCTTCAGGAGTTATATCGATAGTGGTTGAGCCAAATTTGATAGGAACAGGAAGGACATCAGCATGGCAGATCATCAACAGTTTTGATTTATCTTTGTTGAGTGCAGATCTAGTGAGACTATAAAATTCATCTGCAACGTGTAAAATTTCCTCTAGATCTTGTTTGAAATTAGTCATCCAGTTTGTATCATCCATAAATGCAAGTGACAAAATGGAAGCTGATATAGTGCTGGTATTCATGGAAGTGATGTCAGAAATCCAAGTATGATCAATTGTATATCCTTTATTTAGGGAGCCTACTTCGCAGAGTAAGGGGTTCAGGTAGATACATCACACTAAAGGGAAAATAACTTCTTCTTAATCAATATCTATCTTGATATTGTATAGGTCAGTGGTTCCCTATGTGGTAAATACAGCGTTTTTTCTTGAAGTAAAGAGGTTTATGATGAGTTCAGTAGCTAACTTAGGGACTTTAATTCTGTTTAGAGTGAGACAAAAGTAAGATAAATCTACGTGATTATAAGCCTTAGAAAGGTCTTATAGGAGAATCCAAATTTCTTTATTATTTTCGATAGCATCCTCTAATAGCATATTGATAATTTTTATAGGTAGTTCCG